CGGTAGGCCACCAGCATGCTGATGAAAATGAGGAGCATGAAGACCCCCTGGATGGCGAGCACACCAGACCTAAGAAGCCAGTCCTCCTGCACCCAGCATGGGGTACCGTCCTGGCAGCTCTTACAGCCCGGCCAGCAGGGGAGACAGATGGGCATGTTCGGGTAACACATACCATTGCTGTCACTCTCATTCACAGGGGCTCCATCTGCATCGCATACAGACACACACATCTATTCAACCTACACAAAGCCATGGCAAAACCTCATATACATGCGACCTCCTCAAGGAGCTTAAAACAGTATGTTAAAGGTCTAAATGATTAATCTTAATTTTGAAATAATCTTTTTTAGTTTTGAATTTTGACTTTGAAAGATCTGGTTTAATAATTAGCACAATTCCTGTTGTTGTAGATGGTCCAAAACCATTGGGTGGGAGTTTTTCCTTCCCACTGTCGCCAAAGTGCTTGCTCATAGGGGGTCATATGATTGTTGGGCTTTTCTCTGTATCTATGAAGGTAGGGTCTACCGTACAATATAAAGCACTTTAAGATGACATTTGTTGTGATTTGGCGCTATATAAATAAAATTGAATTGAATTGAATTGAATTGCTGTCATGGTGGCTGCATCTATGATTTAAACGCTCTGACTACTAAAAAAACCAGCCTAAAGAGACCTGGTAGCCTGCTGCCTTTGCAGATGCTTGAAAAGAGTTGATTTGTTAGCAGCAGTGGATAGTTGATCGTCGCCTGGGCACAGTTTGCACTTTACCATCACTTTCATGTTCTTTGATGCAAAACAAATAAAAGTAATGTCCATATCTTTGCTTCTCAAAAGCAGAAAAAAAAGAAAAAAGACACATTTGATTTTTTTTTTGTATAATAGTGTGGTCTGTGGTGACAGTGTGGTCAATCAACTATGACCCTCTGAAAAAAGAAAAACATATTTTTAGATTTGATTTTTGTAAATCCCCCCCCCCAATCTGGACATAAAACAATAGACAGAGTTGCTAGGTCAAAGTTAAGGCAGCAACCTCCAGGGAGTTTCACAGTTAAATCAACAGATTACTTAATATCTGTTGACTTACCTGAGTCCTGAGGCGATACGTCAGGGCTGTAGTATCCTTCTTTACAGCGACAGCGTCGCTCGTATCCGCACGTATTATATGATCATGTTTCTTTTTAAATCTACAATCTAATGCAACCACCAAATACAAAGCACCTTATGAAGTGAAT